ATGTTAGATTTCATTTGTTATTAATAAAGATACTTAAATATATAAACCTTCTGCTTACCTTTTCTATTGTTTATAACTATAAAACGTTTCGAACTGCGTGCAACACTATAATTCAATTTCAACGTTTTCCAAAGTCAAATTGTCGTCTTCGGCATCTACTTATAATAAAATGGATGATGATGATCTCTCTTATATTCAAAGGATTCGGCATCTCTCTTGTACGTCCCAAAGGGTTTGGCATCTCTCTTTATTTCGTAAGGCTCGGCATCTCGTCTTTTTATACTTAATCCTATATTTCATACAATTAATTGATTAATTTAAAATAAAAAAAAAATAAGAGAATAATTCATTTTTGCTTACCAGCACTAACCAAAGAAAAAAGAAGCGGAAAAGTTAATAAAGTAGATGTGAATTCATGTTGATATATTTATATATATATATTATCCTTTCCCTTTCTAAAAAAAACTTCAAGAGAATTGAAGAACTAGCGAAGGGGAATTCCAAGTCTTAAATATTTTGGTTTTGTAAACTTGATTTTTAGTTTCTTATAAGAAATTTATAAAATGATGTGAGGCTTATTATTACGGAACGTTGTTTGATAACTTATGCTCTAACAAACTGATTAACGCATTGGGACTTTTTCTTTCACAGCCCTTTGAATTATATACATTAAATCACATAAATCTTTTTATTTCTTCTATCGTCAGAAGTCAAAATTTTTCATTTTACTAAATTCAATTTTAAACAGGTAAGTTTATATGGCGTAAATCAAACGAGTGGCTTTAGTAAAACACATGAAATGATCGTCCAAGCCATGATAATCATTTTCAAGCAAGATCCAATTTCCATATTTTATATCAAAGTTATGATTGATTTTTTTAAGCCATTAATTAACGCAAAATTCCTTATATTTAATAGCCACAATCTTAAAGCCTCAAAACGAAATATTCTATTAAATTATATATCAGTGTGGGACAAAAATGAGAAAATTTCACGTGAAAAAAAATGATTATTTCATTCACTGGATACGTTTGACAACCTTTGTGTTGGCGGCACCCTTCCATTTTTTTAAGAAAATATTCACACCAAATGCCTTCTTTAACGAAACTTTATTAATTTATCGCATAATGGCATTCATAATGTCAAAAAATTACATAAATTAACGAAATATTACACTATCAACAATTTATATAAACATAAAAAAATAAAAAAAATGATTCGATTAAGCATGTTGGAGGAAATGGAGGAAATGGACGGTCTAAAAGATTACTGCATATGCTTCTCGTGCGCTTGGTGAATATATAAGGCGTGACGCTTCGCTTTCTACAAGTACTTTGGCAAGAAAGTTATAAAATATAGGCATACAGAACTGTTGGAAGACACCTTGCAAATGTTTGGTACATAAAAAAACTTCCTAAAGTAACTCCAATGTTATCCGAAATACACGTATAGAGTGGGACACGAAATGACATTAATGACCAGTGAAAAAAACAATATTTTCTGATGAGAACTTTTTAGAAATACTGTAGAACCTTGCTATAAAGGGGAAAGGTCGGTTCGTCGTATGCAACAAAATGGGGTGGGTTTTGCGTAAAAGGAAAGTCAATGAGAGCTTTTCTTGGAAAAAAGCCTTCGTATGGCGACTTGTGTGCCAATCATTACTCGGAAATTGACTGCGCCTAAAATTGGATTTCCGTAGTCCTGACGATCAATTTGCTGTCAATTCTGACATATCAGTTGGAATTGAGTTTTCGGACTTTTCGATGATTTAGTACACCTCGACATGATGGAATATATATGTCAAAATGACCATTTTTGACATAACGAAACGGTCAATAAGCATTATCGTCAGTCAAGCCGCAATAATTAGTAATCCTGCCAAGAATGCCATGGGAAGGGAATTTATTATAAAAAGAAGGGTTTTTCGTCTTGCTTTTAGATTAGAATTAGATAGTTTTCTTTTCTCTATTGCAGAGCGCCGGCAGAGGCAGTAATAGTTGCATTTATTGTATTTACTTCACATTTTATCAAATAAATTAATTTCTTATTTTACTTCAATAAAAACTTTATTTAATTCTCTTTCGATTGTTTTACATACGATTTTCGCTATAATACCTATAATACATTGTGTTCTCTAATAAACTAAATCGACCTATTAAATAAATCACCTCTTTACGAATTTAGGAGGTGACACAAGCATCTGAGTGATCTCAGGAAAATTTTTACATAAAATTCAACGTTCATAATGTTTTTAAAACAAAATAAACTTAAGTTTAGGAATTGCCATCTAATAGTCCTGATTTAAACCCAATAGAAAATCTTTGAGCAATTGACGGATGCCAAAAATCTTAGTGACGTGGAGGAATTTATGGTGGAGGAATGGCAAAATTCCACAAACTCTTCTAATTAGTCTCGCAAACTCGATGAAACATCGTTGTGTATATATCATAACGGTTTGTGTTATATTAAATTGGGAATTAGCCGCTTGAAAATTCTATCATTTTTATTATATTCCTATTACGAAATAATAATTTTAACTAAATTTTGCTTTGGATAACAGAAAATATTATTTTCTAGAAATTTAGAAATTAATACTTTAATAAGAATTTCTATTATTTAGCATGGCATATTTGTTTGAGAAAATGTTAAGAATAATAGAAATTAAAGATATGAACTGATAAAGTTTAGGATTCGATAAGCTTTTTTTATAAAGCATGATCTTGTAAGCCATACGATAATATAGATTCTGTACGTGATTAGCTATTGATGATAATTATTGTATAATATAAAAAAATATATATCGGTCAGCATGATCCTAAAGAGCTGTGCTTATTTACCAGTTGATTTATACCCGTTTAGCATAAAAAAATGCTTGAATTCAATAATACAATAACAATATTTTTTAAACACTGTCGTTAATTTCCAGGAGATAAAATCATGATTTTCACAGCTGCACTGCAAAATGATTGATATCCCGTAAATAAGCATTACATATTATATTAATTATATCTGTCATATTTGTAATCTAGAATTTTCATAAAGACACTTTTAATCATTTTCGTGTATACATATTTGATTTCATTGTGATAACCAACTACAAAAGTGAATTGCTTATCTTTCCTAGGATTGATCTAATAATTTAGTTTCTTTGGTTTTAGTTCAAATTCAGAATAACACCGAATTAATCTGTCAGAATACAACACTTCTCATGAGTATAAATACAAATGAATGTGTACCATATTAATATTCAAAAAAATTATTTTAATTGAAATTGGACAAAAGTCCAAAAGTCCAATAAATTGACGATATGCCGATCACTATTAACTTTCGTAACCAATGATGTAATAATGAAATAATGAATTAGATCATTTTGTTCAAATCCCACCTCCAAAATTCTTTCTTTCACGCAAATTTATAAATCCCATTTACGAATTTTCTTACCACCTGCTAGTGTATAGTCTATAGGTTGTGGTGTGATGTTATACACGCATCAAAAATATTTGTATAATTTTGGTCATAATGCTTGACCAACCTTTCTGTTCGCTGTGAACGGCTCCTAATATTGTTCCGAAATAGTAACGTTTCAAAAAATAACTGTGCTTATATTTTATTTTATAAAAAAAAAATTAAAATAAAATGCTATATAGGTTGGTTGCTATAAATAGGTTGGTTGCTACGCAATGATCTTTCTAACTGTCACGGGTGAAATCGTCGATGTAGCATGTGATTTAGGATACACAAAAATCATGTAACGGAAAATTTTATTAAATTCCCGACTTTTAATGTTATGTTATTAATGAAATACGTTTTTTTTTTAATTTTGCTCATAGGTCGCAGTTTATTGAATTATAATATCTGTTTGTTTTGTTTACGATTATGTATATGCTCAAACTATGTGATATCGTATGACGCTGCATCATGTTATGACGGTATATTGTATATAACGCGTGCGTTTCTTTATCTAAACACTTTTGTGTCAATACCTTCACATTCGTAATACTTTTTTTTTCAGACGTAACGACATCATGTTATTTTGTCTCGTTCTAGGAGACGCTATAAGAAACGCTTTCTTGGTTAAAACAAATAAAAATATGACCGTTTCCGATTTTAGGAAAGACATTTGGAAGGAAATAAGCGCTGACTTTGAAGGTGCTTACAAACTGATTCTGTTTAAGGTGGATATTCCTATAAATTATAATACAGATCCGGGGAGTAATATACTTGCGGAAGAAATCAAAAATAAACAGGAGCTACTTCCAGTAAGAAGAGTAGAGTCATATTTTAAAGAAGATGAAATCAACGTTTTTTTTGACGAAATACCCGATATTATGAACATCCGTATTATCATACAACTTCCAATTGAATTTTCTAAAAAAAGGATAAAGCTCGAAGGTAAGGTGTAGATATAGAAGTAATTATTTTTTTGAAACATTAATGAATCAATTAAATCTTATTGTTTTTTTTTACCAATTTATTATTTGACATATAACTCCATATTAGATAATACAACAAAGTTTTTTGATGAGCTCTTGCGCCCTTTTGATGAGGAAATTAATCGTGATAATATTGAACGATTATTTATGAAACCTCTACTACTTAAATTGCCATGTCTCCCTGATTTGGTTGTTGATTCTAATGTGCTTGAATCCATATTATCAAGTCCTATTTATTCTTCTAGATTGAGTTCTATTGTTGATGTTGTTATGAGTAGAAACTTTAGGGAAGGACCTGGTAAGGAAGGAAAAACCATGGGAAATATTGATAGTCATATTAATAACCTGATTGAACTTATCCAAGAATACGCTAAGGACTGTAGTAATATGAGTTTGGATCGTAACCAGGCAATTCAATCTTCAACCACGACCACAGAAAATAAAAGGAATCGACCAGATATAGCGGTCTATTATAATAATGTGCTCGTAATGATGGGTGAGGCAAAAGACATTAATACTAAATTAGGAGCTGCAGAAACACAATTAGATGGTTACTTTGATTATTGGAATCCACTCGCATTTGGTAAATTGCCTTTTGTTATGGCTTTTGCAGCAGCTGGTACCACCTTACAATTTTATTATTATTATCCCGGAAATGATAAACCAGAACGTGTGAAAATTGGCAATATCATAGACCTTGGAACTACAAATAAATTAAATAACTATAAGGCACTTCAAAATACTATTAATTTTGTTCGGATTATTAAGACTTGGAATTGTAAACAATATTTACAAGTTCCAAAGATAAAGTTATATGAAGTAATCCGACGTAAAAATGATACAACAATCACAATAGCCCCTCAAAAAATCATTAAAAAAGTTCATATAGTGGATCGAGGACCCAATTATAAAAGTTTCTTTGAAAACTTTTACACGAGGATTTTTCCAAATTTAGGCGGAAGATATGTGGTACTTCACTCGAAATTTTATGTAAAATGGATATATTTAATATTTGCACCTGTTGGATATATGACAATTCCTAAAGATGAAAATGAGCTCCGAGATGTCATATGGGATGTGCTTAATGTTGTGAATAACCTTCATGTAAATGGTATTGTTCATCGGGATATTCGCTGGGACAACATTATAAAACTCACAAATAATGGTTGGATTTTAATTGACTTCGAAGAAGCTGCTCCGATTGGAAGAGGTAACCTAAGGTATTGTAATGATAGATTAATGGGCTAACTTCTTGATCGTTTATTACAAATTATCGACTAAATTTTTAACTACTTTTGTTATAGACCATCTACATTAAATATTACAGCTCCAGAGTACAGAGGCAGTGATGATTTATGTCTAGAATCTGGTGATATTTGGATGATTGGAAACCTTTTCGATGATTTTAGAATTCGTATCCAGCTTACTGAAAGTGCTAGAATATTTCGGGATAAATTGATATGCCAAAATCCTGTTGAAAGACCGACTGCATCTGATGCCTTAGCAGACAACTGGTTCAAAGTAATGAAATAGGTAGGATTTATCGATTTCACAATTACGAGATTATTTTTATAGCAAAGTACGAAAAATATTGTGATTGAACTTATCAAACCAATAAAATATTGCGATGCGTAATCTATTATGTAACATATATACAGTATTATATTATTATTTTTTTTTGTCGTTTATTATTATTAAGAATATTGGAGTATCGGATATAATAAGGGATTTCCTTCCCGGGTGAGACATCATTAATTGAAAACAATTTCTGAAATTCGTATGTCCAAGAGATTCTTTCTTACCCAATGAGATCACGCTATATTGGTCGTATAATGAACCAACGAGTCTCAATATAAAAATATCATATACTTAACAATCCTGTTGTTTCATTGTTTTCGGTTGATAACTTGAAAGTTGCAAGTGCTATTAAAATTGAGGCAGGATCATATGATTTACTATGTCTCGTACCTCAATTTTAATAGCATACCACCCATATGGGACAGAAGTCTGACTACTTTGAAAAAGAATCTTTTTTTATTTTATCAAACATTACCTAATTTGTTAAAACTAATTTATTTTTCTTTTAAACCGTACAGATTATAGAAGAAATATAATTAGATTTGTGAAAACTATCATTGACAATTTAGTGTTGCAATATTTTTGTTTTATTTTTTAAAGTCGATAAATGTAAGTTTCAAATTTGACGATCTACATTTGTTTTACAAATTTCCATTTTCGTTTCGATCAACGTGATCATTTTTTTACTATATTCACATGATTTTTTGACTTTTTTTCTTAGGCTCTAAGTAATAAAATTTTACAAGTTGATAAAGTAGCATCCCCAAAAATATCATCCTCGATTCCCTTAACATATAAAAAAATTTTTACCTGAATATTTCCCATTATTTCTCCGTTGCTTCTGTAAAAATGGAAAAACACAGCTCTACTTTTTTTATAGAGCTAATATCAATGTGGGTTCTACTAGAAGGCGATCCAAGTTCTGGTAGAAATTGAAGATAACCCGAGCGACTTTACGTCCCAACTTAAACGATCTTAATCCAAGGAGTTTAGTGAATGAACTTAAAAATGACACCCGACATAAGATTGAATTGTTCGCTGATAAGAATCGCACACTATCTCTTCGCAATGGAATGTTGTTAGTGGACCTTAACTCAACTGATATATGTCCGCTTATCGTACGGTACCCATTTTCCACATAGAGCAGTAAATATAAAACGGTTTTTCATACATTTATTTTCTTCTTACATATCTAATACTCATTTGTATTCTCTGCAGTCGTAGTGTAACACAATTTGAGATGTACAAAAAATTTCTTATTCATAAATTCGAAAAGAAAGAATTAAATAAATCTAATCTGCCATATCACTATTTGGTCATTTTGCGTTATATTTCAACACATCGTCTTGTTATTCTAGAAACGACAATATGAGAAGCTACATTTTTTTCCTTCTGCATCTCATTTTCAAAATTGCAATTATATTGACGAGAACTTTCAACTTTAGGTTTTTCCGGAGTACCAGTCCAGCGAATGAAAAACCAACAACTTCCGGTTGTAACAATTCCAAACAATGCTGGCTGTGATCTAATTCTGTTTGGTAGAACTTACGCTTACCTAACAAATTCTGAAATTGTGCATCGAATGCTAGGTCCACCTAAACGCAATAAATACAACAAATTGTCGTTACATCTGACACACTATGTAATTACATGATGATTTGGCTATCCCCTTAAGGTAGTGATGTGCTCTTGGAAGATCGGAAGCACTATTGGAGGCACCTTTGGAGGCACTTTTGGAAGGTTTGGATGCATAATTTTCTAATAAAATCATTTGGCTTGGAAACTTCCAATCAAAATTTTATACCGTTGGAAGTATAAATATACATCACTGCCCTTAAGATAGTTTCCAATTTGGCCTCATTTACCAGCACTGAAAAGCCCATTAAGGATAGCTTCGACACATAATTGTGCTGAAGCGTTCGCATACATTTGAATGTGATCAACTACGGTCTTCATGAAAATTGCTACATATTCCTTAACAGTTTGTTCATTAACAATGATATTATTTTTGAATGTTTTCAACATTTTTTTATCTCATTTCTACTCTTCTGCGGTAATTAGATGGTTCATCCAAATCAAATCTCTGGTAATCACCAAGCAATCAATTCCATTATATACTTTGTTGAGCACATCTTTGATTTTCCATTCATTATAAGGTTTTTTACCTATAATAATTTGGAGAAGTTAGAATCAGGATACCTACGCACTAAGTCGAGATAAAAACATCATACCTTTGATCTGGACTTTAAGATCGGGAAAAATACGTTTTTTCTTCTTGTTTGCTTCAGTCTGATTAATGAGACGTTGAACTGAAACTCATCTTCAATTTTCTTATTTTGTCCACTCAGAAATTACAAAATAGAGGTTACGAGCTTCTGTATTCGAACTTTAATAACTTCTTAAGCTTTTTTATAACATCGCCTCCCAGGATCTGCTGGCATATTTCGCTTTACTTTTCTCTGATTTATAAATCACATTTTATATTTTATTAAAGAAAGGCACTAAGGTTGACTTCCCTTTATAGCAGATTTATGAAACAGCATTATCATTAAAAGTAAGAATTTTTTTATGTAACTTGCGTTATTTTTTTTTTGCAGTCGGTCCTTGCACTGCGGAAAATTCATAGACGTAGTATAACTTTTATTCTTGAACTTTTTATCCGCTCTGCTTAAATCAAACGAAAAACCAAAACGTAAAAAATTCTATCAAATTTCAAACTTACCATACATCATTGATATAAAATTGCAAAATCATTACACGAGAATAAATCAAAAAACAAAAGGCATCTTCCATTTTTTTGATGTCCCAATCAAGCAAAGCATCTCGAATATTTTACTATTCTTGTATTCGCTGAGAAGACGTGCCTTATTGCGCTTAGCATATCATATATCACCTGATTTTTCATCTGAAGTTTGGCGCAGTATTACAAACCACGTAATGCGGATATAATACAAAAACCAAAACAAACAATCCTGTAGGATAGATACTATTGTAGTCAGAGTAATTGTGTAGCTATATAAATTATCTGTCTTGGTGGGAATAGTAAGACAACTTCTATCGGATAACATATGTGGTGGGAAATTTAGTATTATAAATAGAATAGAAAAAATAGCATTTGTTTTCAGCGGACTCAAAGGACGCCCTTTACGATTAGATACGTTAATTTTATAAATTTAGGTGTAACTAAAAATAATGCGAAAGGGGAAGTCTCAATCAAAAAATTATTATCTATTCACGAACATAAATTTTACTACAAGCGAAATCCCACTATTTTTATGCTCAATTTTTATAAGGAATTCACGAGACTTTTTGGCCGATTTATCTAATTATTTGCAGATAAACTAATAAGCAAATAATTTTGGGATACAATGCCTCGAAGATAATAGAACGGATATATTATTTAGTAATAACTGTATAGTATTGATTCCAAGCCCTATATTGAACACTTCTAATTTCAACTTTGGTTAGAAGAAATTTGCGTCTTATCTTAAGGATTTTATCCTAGATTAGATCAAGTAGTGGGCAAGGGAATCTTTCATTTTTTATTTTTTAGTTACAGTTTCGATAGCTGCTTCGGTATACAAGGACCAAACATTTTGGAATTTTACACTTATCTTTTTTTAAAATTCTTTCTTCTTGCTTCTGTAAGAACAGAGATCAGGACTTATATTTATTTTTTACTTTTTTAAATCTTTTCTTTTAGTTTTGAGTTCGATTTCCTACAGGTTCTTTTCTCGTTCCATAAGAAATAAAATAAGCAAGGCAAATAATTTTTTTTTATTTTTTGGTTTTTTTTTTAGCTTTGAATTCATTCACTCAATGCATAGCAATATTTCTCTGTTATATTTTGGACTTCTTCACCCTTTTCCTTTCTTTAAGTTCATTTTCAGTTTAAGTCGCTTTTGCAAATATAATAATGAAAAATACTTATGGGGTTTGATAACATAGGGCGCAGTAAACGGATATTGACTACACTGCATACCCATAAAATGGGTACGCAGGGGTAGTTATTAACTGCCTCAGTGACACCGACAAAAAATTTCGCGAGCATGTGATAGTAGGCCTACATTATGCATAACCCCCTAACTCTAAATCTAAAGAGTGATAAATAATTTCATGTCACGTGAACGATCGGTAGCCGTCTTACTGCGCTAATAATAAAATAAAACCGCAGTCCGGTCCTTTAAGATTGGGACATGTTAATGATCACCCGGCTTTTATTTTGCGTGTCGAAGAATTATAATTTGTAATAATAAATTTACAGCATTATGCGATAAAATAAATTGGTAAGTAAAAGATATACTACGAAATTATACGTTATAAATAATATATTAAAATGTGAATGAAATATAATTAATTTTATTCCTCCTAAATAGCAGAATTTAACACTATTAAAGCTTGTGTAAAAGAAGCTGATCTACAAATGAAAATGGGACACCTTAATTCTATATAGAATATCACTGCATGATGTACTTTGTCATTACTTCCTGATAACATAATAGAAATAACCAAAATCACTTTGTGATAGCGTGCATTAAATGAATCCTTATTGGATAAACTTATAAAGAATGACGGCGCAACTTCTTTTCTATAAAGAGCATGACTCCCTAAATAAGAACCATTCATTTAGGAGCGTTTCATTTTTAACTTCCTTTAGCATATAGGAATAAGCACTTAGTAACAAACTTTGTACAGTATCCACTTTAGGGAATAATTAGTTGCTGATAACGTTATTATATAATGTCTTTAATGGATAAACGTTCAAAGGATATCGGCGTCGCTACTATGCATTGCTGAGTTTTTTTTTTTTTTTTACTTCCATCCATTTTACACAATTATAATAAGCACTTCTAATCAAATTTGTGAAACCACCATAATAAATTGTATTAAATGAATCCTTGAATGGATATATGATAAAAGAATGTCGGCGCAACTATTTTTCGACAAAAGAACATGACTCCCTAAATAAGAACCATGCATTTAGGGGCGTTTTAACTTCCATTTAGCATATTATATATAAGTACTTATTAACCAACTTTGTACAGAATCCATTTTAGGAAATAATAAGTTGCTGATAACATTTTCTATATAACGGATAAACGTTCAAAGAATAGTGGCGTTACAATTTTTCGACAATGAGAGGTTTGCTATTAAAATCACGTTACGGATCATATTTATGTTGTGCGTCAACGGGATACTAAATATAGAAATGATAAAAGATGATCATCAGTAATGCTGCCCAGGCATTATAAAAACAGGCCGGTAATTTAGGCCAGTTGACATCTGACGCAAATCAACACCTGATATGGGTAAGGGAATCTTCATTCATTTTTATTTTTAGTTAACAGTTTCGGAATTTTGCACTTTTCTTTTTTTTAAAATTTGTTCTTACTTCTGCAAGAAGAGATCATGAATTATGTTTATATTTTACTTTTTTTTAATCTTTTCTTTTAGTTTCGGGTTCAATCGTGTTTCTATAGGTTCTTTCCTGGTTCCTTAAGAAATAAATAAGGAAGGCACATATTTATATTTATTTTTGGTTTTTTTTTTAGTTTTGAGTTCAATCACTTCAGAGCATGGCAACATATTTTGGAATAATTCACCCTTTTTTTTTCATTTTCAGGTTGAGCCGCTTTTGCAAGTATAATAATGCGAAAACTTTTTATACTTTGATTTCGATCGCTTCGGGGCGCCGTAACCCAGCTTAAAATAAGAAAAAAAAAAATAATTGGCGCTAACATCCAATCAATATAGTTACACAAATTTGTTATTTAATTTCCGACTTAAATCTTATAATTATTACAATTACTTTTTTAATCTAGCATGTTGTGTTGATGGTAGTAATACTTCCTTAGTTAATTATTACCATCTACCCAAACATAAACAATCAATGATCAAAAAATGCGTTTTAGAACGAATTCTAACAATAAAATTTTTAAAAAAACCTTTCTTAGAAGAATTTCTATTTTTTAAATCAAATTTAAGAAAAAATATATTTAATTTGTTCTAAAAGACAATTTTATTAACAACAAAGATAAAATTTAAAATAAATCTATTTCTTTAAAATCTAATTTTGAGATTTGATTCAAAAGAATATAATACATAACGAAAGAAAGAAATCAAGTTATTCATAAACAAAAAAAAATTTTTTTTGAGATAATTCAAAAATAGAATCAATCCCATTTGCTTAAACTTATTCGTTTAAGATATTTCTAATAATATAATCTAACGTCACAATCTGAAAGGTCACATTCGTTTTCTATTATTTCATTGTCGTCATTTTCTTTAAAATCAAAATGGCTTTTAGAATCAATTCTACTAAGTTCTGAAATTACTTGAAAAATATCTGGTCTTTCGTCTGGTTCAAGCTTCCAACATCCTATTTAAAAGTAAATTTAATAGATTGTAATAAAAAAATTGAACAGTAACAAAAGTAAAAATGAAACTTACTTTCATAAATATTAATAAAGCTACCATTTGTTGTTGGAATAGGTTTTTCTCTTACGCCTTCAAGGATTTCAAACCGAATTGCAATATCGACAGTTGTTTCAAAATTGAAAGGTGATGCACAACTTGTCAATTCCCAGAACAACACTCCTAAGCTATAAATATCAGATTTTTTGGTTAATTTAAATAAAGGATCTTTAAAAGTTTTGGGCTCCATGTAAGGTATCACACCACATGCTGCGTTGGTATCTAATCCTTGTAAACATGAAAATGCAAAATCTGCTATTTTTATTGCACCTTTATGGATCAAGATATTATTGGAATGCTAAAAATGGATAAATAAAAATTAAAATTAAAATTAAAATAATATAAATGGAATCCTTTCTATGTCTGAAGAAAACTATTTTTACAGATATTTCACGTGAGAGAAACCTCGTGACTTCAAATTTTTCATATTGCGTAGGAGTTTATTGTCTTCCGGAAATAATTACAGTAAATTAACTTACAAGATCTTGATGTATAATTTCATTGTCGTGTAACCATAAAATCGCACTCGCCATGTCGTTGGCAAATTCCAATTGACGGTTCCATTTAAATGTTTTCGCGTTGTCTCTTAAATATTTTCCTAATGTTTCACCATCCGCATATTCAAGAATAAGCGCATAATTTAATTCCTCTAAAAGCACAAAAAAGTCGTGAGCATAATTCAAATAAAATTATTAAATAATAATTATTTTACCTCTTAATTTCGTAATTCCATAAAATCTTATTATATTTGGATGAAAATTAACTTTTCTTCTCATAATTTCCATTATACGAATCTATAAAAGAGTATTATAATCGAAATAACAATATATATATATTAACAAAAATATGTCAGTTAATATCAAATCTTGTTTAAAATGATTTCTTTCGTAGAACTTTCGACAAATTTTTTAATTGCAAGTTTTGTTTTAGTGATTTTCCAATACGCAGTATAAACCGCAGCATAACATCCGGAATCAATTTTAGAAACATCATAAAATCTTGAGATTCATGATAAGGAATGTAACATCCTTGCAGCTTTACAGAAGGAACTTTAAAGTCTTGTGTATCATAATCTATGCGGTGGTGCAACTAATATATAAAAGTTTGATCAATTTTGGTTTACAAGATGTTGCTGCATATATGACATGACAGTATAAGTAAATAGAGATCACATTTTATATGCAGCAGCGAAAAAAAAAACTATTTAATTTAGGAATGATCTTCCTTAATAGTTTCATTAATTGAAAAGATTTTTCAAAAAGCTAAACCGTTCTATAATTCTTTTCTGTAGTATTTATATCATTTAGAATATGCTTAAAATTCTTGTGTCACAAACTTCAAAATGATACACTTTTTTTTTTTTTTTTGGTGCGTTACTGGGTAGTTAGTCTTATTAGTATATTATTACAACCTAAGCTGTGTGCTAAGGACTGTCCACCTAAGGTCTCAACATAATTTTTCATATGAAGCAACCATCAACTTACATCAACCCCGAAGGTTGCCATCTAGGAATAGACTCTACACAACCCTTTTAAGGGGGCATGCATAGGTACCTAGACCCCTAGGTCCTATCAAATTTGGATAGAGGGATCACTTCAGCCCATAGAGTTATCACTTCTATGCTTTACCAAAGTCAAGTAGTCTACAATTTGCCTTACTTCCACATAGTGCATTATTGAACCAGTGACCGGGAATAACCCTACTTTAACAAGGTGACTTTGTATCCATTTCGTCAAATAACCCAGGAATTGAACCTGGCCTTTAACCCTAGTGATAGCTCGATTAGACGGTGCTGCAGCGTGCAATGCAGTCTATTATCACCGTAGATCTAATCTACTAAATACTGATCAATCACTTCCTTAATTTATATACAATCTTATGATCATATACAGAAATAAGGGTCCCTGCCGTGTGAGACGTAAGACTGTATCCATTACAGACCAATCAGCGAAGGCCAAGTTTCTGTCGATCCCTGGCTTCATTTGCAT